CACCACCACTGCTGCAGTCCAGAAGTACCCAGTGGAAGCGTCGCCCCTCCCTTCAAATGATGATGTGGTGCTCGGTGAGACCCTGGGGATGGGTGGCTCCTGGGAGGGGGTTTCACATCGTGGCTAGGGAAACATGGGCTGGTGGCACCAGGCTCACCCGCTGTCCCTCTGTGTCCCCCTCTGGCTCTGCAGGGCTGATCGCAGTGTGCACAGTGGCCGGGGTTTCAGCACTGGTTGTGGCTGCCGTCTGCTGGTGCAGGTGAGCCAGAGGTTGCTGGTACCAGCCAGTCCCTCCATGTCCCTGTGCCCTATCCCAGTGTCCTGGTGCTTCCCAGATATTGGGGGCAGGTAGGAGAAGAGGCAATAGCTGCCCTTGCTAGTTCCCTGCAGGTACAGGGCTGGAGTGTGCCCCCCTCCCTATGCCAGGCACAGACTCCTGGGAGCAGGTGGCACCTGGTCTGAGTATTGCTGTGGCACTGGTTGCTGACACGTCTGGCACGTCAGTGCCTTGTGCCCAGGCCCCACAGGATGGAGGTGACTGTGCCTGGGGGTGCCACCCTTCATGGGTGCTGTCACAGGGAATGGGGATGGGGGTGGGAGGCCTGAGCTCCCCTGGGGTTTGCTGGCTCCTATGTGGAGTCATGGGCTCTGGGGGCTTCTGCTGACTCCTCTCCCCTGGCAGGCTGCAGAAGGAGGTCAGGCTGGCACAGAAAGCCGACTACTCAGCACAGCGAGTGGCCAGCCCCCTGCCCTACGACAAGATCTCGGTAAGGCCCCCATGTCCCTTCTGGGGCGTTTGCACTTGGGCTAGATGTATGCTCTGCTTAAGGGGCTTCTGACACAGGGGGACACCCCCAGCCAGGCTCGGGGCTCTCTGGAGCCCAGCCTCCATGCTTGTCCTTGCTCTCTCTGCAGCCTGGGGACAAGACACTGGCTCAGAGTGCCCAGATGTACCACTACCAGCACCAAAAGCAGCAGATGCTTTCCATGGAGAAGTAAGCAGCCCAGGGAGCACACAGCAGCCCTGGTTGGTGGTCCATGCCCTGCCATTAACTGGGGTGCTTCACCCCCTTTCTGCATCCTCTTTCCCAGGCATAAAGAGGAGCCCAAGCTGCCAGACACCGCATCATCTGATGAGGAGAATGAGGATGGAGACTTCACTGTGTATGAGTGCCCTGGACTGGCTCCGGTATGGTGGGCACAGAGCAGCCAGGGGGACCCTTTGTGTGCAGGGTGGGATCCAACACTTGGCTGGGATGTGAAGGTCCTTGCAAGGAGGAACCTTAGGACACGTCCTTCATTCGAAAGGCTGAGACAGTTGGGGGTGTTCAGCCTGGAGAAGAGAATGCTCTGGGGAGACGTTAGAGCACCTTCAGTGTCTGAGGGAGCTGCAGGAAAGCTGGGGAGGGACTTTTGACAAGGGCAGGCAGTGATGGAATGAGGGTTAATGGCTTAAAACTGGAAATGGAGAGGAAGATGTAAGTTAGATATTAAGAGGAAATTATTTTCTGTGAGGGTGGTGAGATCCTGGAACAGGTTGCCCAGAGAATCTGTGGCTGCTCCATCCCTGGAAGTGATGAAGGGCGGGTTGGATGGGGTTTGGAGCAACGTGATCTGGTGAAAGGAGTCCCTCCCTGCTCATGGCAGGGGGTTGGAACTGGATGATCTTTAAAGTCCCTTCCAACTGAAACCATTGCGTGGTTCTATGAAACCCTGAGATGGTCCAGCTCCTCTGCTTACCCCATGTGCCCTGGCCAGGTCCCACCGGAGAGAGTGCCCTAGTCTGGGTGTCACAGCATGGGGCTGCTCCCTAGGGAGTGCTGCCCCACAGGCCCGGGAGCAGAGAGCCATAGCAGCCCTTTGCAGAACCAACCCCCCCCCC